TCTCTGTTCCTCTCTTTCCTCTCTTTCCTCCTTCCCTCTCTCTTTCTCCCTTTTTCCCGCTGCGGCGAGCTACTCGCGCTACCGGCCGCCGTACCAGTGTCTCGTGCTCGTGTGTCCTGCTTCGTCGCGTGGAAAGCGACGCGACGGTCCCGCATCCGCGCATCGCGCCGCGCCGCGTCGACTCCTAGGGCACCGGGAACCCCGAGACGTTCTTCGGCCGATACCGCTTCCGGCACGTGGAACCTAGCAGCCACTTCTGTTTTTGTGCCCTGGCGCATCGCTGGCTGCTGCCCGGCTGCCTCCTCCGTCTGGCTACCCGTCGCTCCGAGCTTCTCTCGTGGGAGGTCAGCACCTAGCCGGCTGGGTAAGTGAAGAGACCGGGCTCTCACCGGACCGGCCAGTACACATTTCGGACGAACCCGCGGCAAGGACGCGCGTCACCTTTCTCCGGCGAGACGCGGCGCCGCGTTTCAATCGGAAAACTACGCACTTTCCCGCTACCCGACGCCCGGCCGCGTATGCCGACGATACGCGGCACTTGTTGCTCTCGTTTTTCCGTCCTCCGTGCTAAAAGACAAACACCGGCGATCTTCGTTTCGATTCCGATGACGGACCTCGAAATGCGAGACTCGTTTGTTTCCGTATAGTTCGTGTCCGTTCGTAGAGGTAAGAGGCATGGAGGTTTTCGAAAAGAGCGCCGGTTTCGATCGACGCTACCCTTCGTCGATATTCGACCCCTCGGTTCCCCGAGGAGTTTTCGTGAGAACGCCGGTCACGTAAAGGCAGCGTATCTCGTGGAACGTGAGAACCTGGAATGTCGCGACACGTGAAGATAAGACAAGAGTCTACCACTCGCCGGCGGGGGTGGGTCCCCCTGCACTTCTCTCTTGTTTACGAACTGCGCGCGTAGGGAACGTCGTCGGCGACCACGTGGTCGAGCACGTGATTCCTCGAAATCGATACGATCGGATCGCGGTTCGTTTCTTGCGCGTAATTATCGGATGGAGATCTCGATTGACAGCGATCTCCGGTAGAATTACTCGCGGAGAAATCGATGAGAATTTCGAACTTCCGATTGAAAAGACGAGCTTGGCGGTAAGAGGAAAAATCGAGAGCGCGTCGTTCGAACGGTGAAACGATTTGACGCGTCGCCGACCACGCGAAACTTTCGAATGGCCATGCGTGGAACGCGGCCGGCTAGTCGATTAGTCACCGCGAAAAGATAAATCAATAATCGCGTCCGTGCTCCATCAGGTAATCGGCCGCCGCTTTTCCGCGAAACCGTTCCGGCCAGCGGCTCTCCATTCATCTCGGCGCGAATCGTAAATTCCGGATCGATCGTGCGCGCCACCGTAATTCCCGTGTGGTTCGTCGGGGCCTTCGTTCGGTCTCACAGTTTACGAGTGGAAGTGAATGGGGGAGGGCCGGGTTTAAGTGTTCCGTCTCGTGTGAAAGACCCCGGCCAGATAGCAGTGTCAACCCCATGAATAATCCTAAATCCACCGGCGCCTTCTTGTTTACTCGGCCCGTCTACGTGTTGCTTCCTGTCTAACCGAAACGTCGGCTCGTTCCTTCGGCGAGCTATACATGTACACCGCTCCCCGACTCCCCTCCCCCTTAATTCCCGATTCTTCGATCATTCGAGCAACGCCAGGTATTTCACGCTCTATCTCTGTTTACATCGACTCCTCTTGCATTCCCTTGCGTCACGACATTAAGAGTAACTTACGATCTCGCCTGCAGGCGTCTCGCGATAAATCTTCATCGTGTTTATCCGACCCCTTCGGATCGGTTCGGTTACGCGCGAGCCGACGCTCGAGGAAATCGAACGATGAACAGGTTGCCGATCCTGCGGCCGACAGTCGAGAAATTCTAACGGCGGTAGTGGTCGGCTGGTAAGTGGGGCGGTCGCGTTTACGAGAATCGGTTCATTCATACGCGACTCGTTGCTCGGTATTCCGTTTAAATGGGCGACGATTAAGTTGCGATCGGGTCGACGCGTGATTGACACGCGGGAACCTTTATCGTTCCGTGCCACGTAGTCCGTAAACAGTGGTAACACGTGTAACGCGGTCGATCGCACCAAAGAGAGAGGGTAATCGTGCTTGTAACGATTCAGACGTTTCGGGAAATCAGACGTCAGCTTCGCAGATAGGAGCACTGAAATCTAGGCCCGCGTATCGTCGAGGCGTCCGGCCGACTTCGGCTTCCGTAATTGTATAGTAGAAAGTTCAATTCTCGCCTCGGCTGGTATTTGTCTTCGCACTTCCTCCCGTCGTCGAGTTTCTTATCGGCGAAGCCTTGAACCACTCGGGACGCATTCTCCGCGCTATCGTTCCACTGATTTTCTTTCGTTAATTACCGGAAAAGTTCGCCAAGTCCGCATACTATTCCCTGCGCGCGAAGTTCAAGGCTGAAGTTTCAGCCGTACCTTCGCGGAATGTAGTTTGCCGGCTCGTTCCGCAGCCACTGCATGTTCCCTTCGTGCAAATGGTACTTCGAGGGACCCGCGATCCTTCCGAGAAGCTGTTCTTCGAGATAACATTACGTGGGAACGCGTACGAAGTTGCCGATCCGCGAAGCTCGCCGGCGAACGTCGACTCGAAGAGCCCGGTTATTTTACTCGACGATCGTCTTCCAATGATGTAACGCTCGTTCCTTCGTGGCCGTTCACTTTTTCAGTCGAGTTTATCACAAAAGGAAGTTGATAAAAGAATTTAATCAAAGTGTCGAGCCGACTGGCCCGCTTTCTTCTCGGCGATGACGCGACAACGGCGCTTATGACAATTTTCAGAGCGTGAAAAAAAGGAGCACAGAACAGGCTCGCCTATCGTTATATAAACGAAAACTTCATTCAAGAACGGTCCCGCGCGATAAAAAAGCTTCCGGGAGGAGGGAAATTGACGGTGGAATGCACGGCCGAGCGATAAAGGTTATAAATCTCGAGGCGATAACATCGCTTGTTCCATTACACCCTTGTTGGCCTATGTAAATATTACGAAACCCGGTGGTTCGCCTATTCACGGCCCTTCGGCCCTCTTGCACGACACTCTCTTCGCTCGTAACGTGCGCTACGGACGAGAACTAGGTCTTCGTATCTCGTCACGCAACTCGGCATTATCGACGGACTTCTTCATTCAACTTTGTTGTTGGCGGCGTGACGTTTAACCACCGTATGTACACAGGCAAGAGGTGTACTTGTTTTCTTCTACGCTCAGTCACTTCGCATTGGCATTCCAGCTACCTTTGCGCCACGTTCATCGGCGATATCCACATTTTCGAGGTAACATCTCGATTCGAAGCTATAAGACGGCTACATATCGTCTACTTCGAATTTTTGTATATAAGTATTTCTACCGATGTGCTAATCCCGTGAATTAATAATAATTATATCGATTAGCTGCATCGAATTGTACTCCGCCGGAAACGTTTTCAAACGAAACATTTATCGAGTCGGAGATCCCGTTCGATAACTACAGGAAAATGGTCGTGTATGCCGAAGGTTTTTCAGTGGGGAATTCTGCTGACTTGTACTCGGCCAGGTAGCACGATTTTCGGCTGAGTCGACGACGGCCAGTGCCGCGTCGAAGAAAACAAAGGGCAAGAACCCCGTTAGGGCTGTACAATGGGGCCGTTCTCGCATTTACAAGATATTCCGGGAAGCCTACGACCAAGCAGCGCCATTATACGAACGCAGGTGTCGGTGCAGATGTCGCGCAGCGGACGATGCAGCGGAATCGTTCGCGTAAATTTTAATGAAACCACCGAACTCACCTTTATTTCGTTCGCCGCGAGGATACTTCCCGACGAGTGTGTTAATATTCGATCGCAATTGTCTCTCGGTTCGTGATCCCATCTAGACTCCGCGTAGGTAATTGCTCGAGCCGGCTGTCCTTCCCAGGTTCCATCGCGATCGCACGGAAAATCGACGGAGTAACACGGGCGAAAGATCCTCGCGAATTAATAAACGGAAAATGATGAACACGGTGGAAGATAACACTGGTCTCTTCGTTCCAGGTAGAAGCCGACATGTTGTGATGGCCGGAACGTCCCGACGTCCGAGCTCCGAGCTCGGACCTGACCTGTCGTCGCCGACGCCTCCGAAGAAGTCCAAGTTCTCCGAGGTTTCGATCGGTGATACCTCCGAGAAGGAGCACGAGGTGACCGCCGAGGAACTCGAGAGCGTCGAGAAGTTGGCCAGCTCCGTAGCGGCCTCCCTGTCCGAGAAAACCGTGGAACTGATCCCCGCGGGTACGAGTCCGTTCGAGATCAGCGAGGAATCTCTGGACAGCACGAAACAACTGATCCAGGGCGGTTTAGAGGGTCCGGCTAAAGTGACACCCGGCTCGTCGAAGGAGGGACACTTCGGCAGCTTCGAGACGATCGTGCAGATGAAGTACGGCCAGCAGGAGCACTCTGGCAGCTGCAGCAGGAAGTCGGACACCGATAGCGAAGTGCAGACTCAGACTTCTCTGCGGGGCGGGGACGCGTTGTATCAGGAACTTTCCCTGATCGGTAACGGTGCCTACGGTACCGTTTACAAAGCCAAGGACTTGAACACCGGCCAGGTTGTCGCGCTTAAAAAAGTTAGGGTACCTCTTACAGAAGATGGACTGCCCACCTCTACCTTGAGGGAAATCGCTACGTTGAAACAGCTCGAGAGATTCGAGCATCCGCACATTGTGAGATACTCTTTATTGATGATTCCTCCCTCGTCTCATCTTAATTCTTCTTTGTCTCTGCTCTGTGTCTTCTGAGATTAACCTCTTGCGCTGGAAAGACGTGCCACGCACGTTTCTGCTTCAAAATGGTCAACGATATCTTTTACACATTGATAATCTTGTTGCATTACGCGTATTGGATTGTTTCGAAATGTATCGCTCTATACAAAATGATTAACGAAATTGTGCACATCTGCGTAAAATAGGCGAAAACAAAATTCTTCGCGCGGGACTGTCGAATCTCTAAATTCATTTCCAGCGCAAGTAACTTTGTATCTTTCTGAACGATTCGATCCTTATCCTGTTTTGTGTCGTGTGCGCAGGTACGATTGTTGGACGTTTGCCAAGGGAATTATCTGCATTTGCCCTCCGCTGACGGGAGATCGGAGAGGCTGAACCGGGGACTCACGTTGTGGCTGGTGTTCGAGCACGTTGAACGGGATCTCGCATCCTACATGTCCTCGTGTCCACGGCCAGGTATCCCGCCTGAACTGGTAAAGCAGATGTCGAAGGAGATACTCAGGGGTGTCGAATTTTTACACAGTCACAGGATCATACACAGGGACTTGAAGCCGCAGAATCTGCTGGTGTCCAGGGAGGGGAGGATAAAGATCGCAGATTTCGGCTTGGCAAAGACCTACGACTTCGAAATGAGACTGACTTCCGTGGTGCGTTAGCCGCAAAATAATCTACTGTCTACCATATTGTATCCCTGCGAAGGAAATTATCGAATTTGTTATTTATTCAGGTCGTGACGCAGTGGTACCGTGCACCTGAAGTACTCCTGGGATGCTCCTATGCGACTCCCGTGGATATTTGGTCCGTAGGCTGCATATTAGCTGAATTGAGCCGCTTGCAACCGTTGTTCCCGGGTACGAGTGAGGGCGATCAGCTCGATAGGATTTTTCAGTAAGTCGATTGACACGATTATTCGCGTTTACCTTTTGGAAAGTGTGTTTGAAGTAAACAACGTGCTTTGTTATCATTCTGCAGAGTAATAGGTACTCCATCGCAAGACGAGTGGCCTGAGAACGTGTCGCTTAGTTGGACTGCATTCCCTTACAGGCAACCGAAGCCTTTAGCAGAAATAATACCTGATCTCAACGAAGATGGTTTAGATTTAATTAAGAGTCTACTCACGTTTGATCCGCACATTCGATTGACTGCAGCCCAGGCACTCAGACACAGGTATTTCGCTGAAGATAGCTCGTGATGATTGTTTCTCGCGTGTGTTTTTATTAGATTCCCGTATACATCGAGTATATCGTATAGTACCGATTATGGATAAAGAGAAACGTTACAGTTACTTTCTTCGTTCCCGCACAATGGAGTAATATAATCTGTTTCGAGTATAAAGCACAGTACGGATATCTTTCTAATTAGAACAGAGCTCGTGAATATTCCGTTCTCGTTTAAGGGATTAAAATTGCAAAATACTTTTGTTGCTGTTTATAAAACCGTCATCATATTTAATTCATACACGCATCGATCGTAATTTCATTGTATTCAGTCGTTACTCTGACGGTGAACAATGCTTCTCCTCGTTCTATTCGAATAGCCGTAGAATTTCCATCGTTAGTTTATTTAGTTGTAGCGTTAGCGATACGTTATTTATTTAGAGTTAAGTAGTACCTCGGTTCGATTTGTTCCCGCGAAAAGTATTGCGTTACCCACTTTTATTTTTCACAGAAACGTAGTTTCCAGCGCGTAGAATCCGCGATTGCAAAATCATTTGTCTCACGATTAAACGGGCGAACCTCGTTAAATTCGCACGAAACATTCGAACCCTATGCCTTAATTTTCTATATTAAACTTATGAGATAAGTGTACCATTAAATAACATTGTTCTCGTAAGACTGGGGTCTATCCGGACCCGTTCAGATCCGTTGGAGGAATACCTAGGATCATTCGCGTATGAAACCAGAAAGTACACTGCCATATGTATGTAATACAAACGGTTAACAGCGTTCAGTGTTGTAACGTTACGTTTCGTACGATGTATAAACCTTTGCTAATAATATTTATATACACTTTAGCATGCAGTTTGTAAGGAAATGTGGAAGACGTTTAAAAAAAGACTGTACAATAAAATAAAGATTTTTTATAGTTTTATATATTGATTATTTTATTCGATGCAATTCGTTCGTTCGATGTACATCTTCGCGAACTAACCTAAAAAGGAATAAGAACAGAGTTCGTACGTCGTTTAAACGACCCGCCATCTTGTCTCCGCCATTGGCTTCTGTACATTGCACCACACGTAATCGTAGATTTAATCAGTCATTAAGAATCTTATGTTTAGTCATGGATATTACAGTGTGAAAAACATTCAGGACACTCAATATGAAATTCCTTCTAAATTTTGCACTAACTTCGTCCAAAAGAATAGCGTGCCTGAACGGCAATCTCGTGCATCACAGTCCATGCTGGAGAAAAATGGCGACCGAGGTGGAAAAAGCACAAACCGCTGCTCCTAGCGGTGACACTATTTTTGGGAAGATACTGCGTAAAGAAATCCCATGTAATTTCATTTACGAGGATGATAAGGTAAGCTCACGGAAACAGCTTAAAATATGGCAGCTTGCGAAACGTACACCTTCCATTTTCCTTGTAAACATCGATACTAGGTTATTTGCCGGCACGTTACAATCGTGCAATGATCATTGGACTGTCTATTTTATATAAATACTGATTGACATAAAAATCTATTTTATATAAATATTGATTGACATAAAAATCTATTTTATATAAATATTGATTTTTATGTGCTGACGCATAGACAGCAATGGTAGGAAGATTTTTTAATTTTGAAACTTTCATCATACTTTCAATGAAGCAAAATTTGTTTTATACCTTTCACCAACTTTTTCAAAGTTAATTTATCTCATAAGTTCACTTTGAAAAATGTACTGTATTTATTGAAACTATAGTTTTTACTCAGGTCGTAACTACTACTTTTAATCGTAAACTTTTTGTAGAATACGCATAATTACGCGACTGTGTGAATTCCCTCAAGCAATATCAATAATCATTATCCTCTTACATCACTTATTGCGCCGTTGATAATGCGGCTATGTAATCCATCGCATAAAATTGATTTTATTATGTATTAGTGTGTTGCATTTCAAGACATCAACGGTCAAGCGCCAGTGCATTTCCTGGTGATACCACGAAAACCGATTCCTCAACTTTCCAAGGCCGAGGACGAGGACGAAGCACTTCTGGGTCATTTGATGATAGTCGCTCGCAAGGTCGCCAAGGAGCAAGGCCTCAACGACGGTTTTCGTTTGGTCATTAACGACGGGAAACAGGGCGCACAGTCGGTCTATCATTTGCATCTGCATGTCCTCGGCGGTCGCCAGATGCAATGGCCACCTGGTTAACTAAATTTTACCGCGACTGATCAAACGTTTATGGCGATTGTACCATTTTATTCCAAAGCGTACAGGTTCTGGTTAATAAAATACTAATCGAAGATGAGACTTTGAGAAAAATACTTTTATTCCAAAATATAAAGAGTAGAAAATCTGAAGTATTTTGCATCCATTGAAATCCGCTTACTTTTTCTCGTATACTTCGTACACGAACTGAATACCGTTCTCTTCTTGTACGCCTTGAGGAACATCTGTATCTCTGAAAACCAGTAAACATATTTAACACTAGGTTTACGGGCATTTATTGTACAGTTTATTCTATTATTCCCGGGGAAGTTGATATTCGTTCATTTAGATTCTGGAAATTGTAGATGTAGAAACAGACAATCAGGATTCGTATTCGTGTAATTGGATCAACGAGAACCGATTGAAACATTTACCAAATAATGTTTATAAAATTCAATCTGCGTCGAATTGACGCGTTCCGTAAACCTAGGGTTAACCAGTTAACTGTGGAATTTAGTTGGGAAAACCTCTCATTCTGCGCGCAATAAGATCAAAGAATTGAGCGTGTACTTATCGAACGCAGGACGAATGCACGTAGAGTATATTTAAGATCAAAGCGAAACAAAGAAGAATTACATGTTTATGTGAAAAAATAAAGAATTCATCGCTGAATGAATTAGTATTTCGTCAAGCTTTACGATCACGTGTATACTCGTCACAATTAACTGGTTAAGCGATACCTTACGAATAAATCAGTCGTCGAACATTGTAAAACTTACTGCTTCAAGACAATGTCGTTAGGAATCGTCGGGAAGAAGGTGTCGCACTCGAAATGCTTTCTTACTCGTGTTAAGTATAACCGATGAAAGTAAGGAGATTCCATTGCAGCCTGCAAGTGAAAGGCAGAGGTAAATCGCGATCGGAAAATTCCGCACGATTTCGACTCGCGATACGCACTTTGTACACGGAGCTGCCTCCGATTACCCATATACTTTCGATCTGATCCTTTAGCGGAGGCTGCGAGATAATCTCGATCGCGTGCGGTATACTTTTGCAAAGGATCGCACTGTCCCCGACGTTCCTACGTAATTTTTGTACGGTGTTAATGTAAAATGTCATTTCCTCGAATATTCCTTCTACGCGGAAAAACAATTAGTATTACAAAAACTGCGATGTCAGGACCATGTTTACACGATTTTGTAACGGCCTGTATTTAGTCGGTATGCACTCCCACGTCCTTCGTCCCATCAGAACAACGTTCTTTTTACATCGGTCTGTCGTTTTCGACGTCATGTGCGTGAAGAAGGCCATTTCGCTTCTATATCACAGTGAAACAAGTGGATTAATCACGTGCGAAAGGAAAGGTTTGAGAGAAAATTTAAAATCACAAGTCAGCTTACTTCAATTTCCATGGTAAGGACCCGTTCACGCCGATTCCCATGCCTTCGCAGGCAGCAGCGATTAAATTTAGATGTAAATGCATTCTCTGAACGAGAACACAACGTTCAGCTATCAGAAGATATTCGACCAACTCACATTGACGGGTGTTACGTGTAACGAAGCATGTGACAACGGTTTAATTTGAACGGCGCCCATGGCAGCGCAACCTGGAAAGTCCTTCAACGCCATGTGCAATTACTATACAAGACAAATAAAAATGTCCATGTAACAAGTTGTTAGCGGGAGACTATGAAACGGATGAAGCTTCAATTCTCCTACACTTTTGGGATGTGTATAATTAAACCATATATAGTTTAATATAAACAAGTGTTTTTCAAGTTAGTCTAAAATTCAAGAAAGAAAACATTAATCATGGAAAATTTCTTTTTGCATTTCAGTGTAGTATATAATCTTTCCAATACGATGAATAATTATTGTCATTCTGTGCATACTGTATAATGTATGTTAAAAATTAAACATTCAAAAATTTATACTTTTGACTGGTAGTGACATCCGTGGTAAAACGCTTAAACCGGTAGACAAATGTTACCGATGTGGGTGTTCACGCGGAGTGACAGCGGCGCCATCTTCTATGAAACGCGCAAACTTCGCTGTCTATCAGTTTGAGCGTTCTGCCACGGATGTCGCTACCAGTCGAAAGCATAGATTTTCGGAAACGGATCATTCTTGCCGCAAGATGATTACATAATATGCAAAATAAAAAAATAAATCATTATGTAGTTATTCTTAAGTTTGTGAGTTAATTTTAGATACATAGTCCGTCTTGTCCCTCGTCGATGATGCAACGTCTGTAGATACGAGTACGGTACTGGACATCGAGTTACCAAACTTTTGGTCGATGGCAGCACTGTGTTGAATGCCGCAGTTGAATGTGGAACAACACAGCTCGTCGCTCGTCCTGTGGAAGCAGTACGTTGAAAATATTAAGATTTAAAATACGATATTTTGAAAGTTGACTGACAATTGCATTCCACTTGTTAGTAACCCACAAGGTAACAGTCTATCCATACTTTTTCCATATCAATTATCGTAAGTACTGAGTGCCAGTAACCCACGTGAATTGTCTTCCATGCGCGGATTTCTACTAGAGATTGGGGTTCTTTAATCAATATTCAATCATTTCGGTTGTGTAACACGTCTCGTTATTCCGTTCGACTAACCGCGTGCATTAATTCGCTTTAGTCTGAGTAATTGTCAGTTTCGTATGTGACAATGCATTTGTAGGTTATGTCTCCGAGAACCGTTGACTTTTCCGGCGGAGGTTGAATTCGAACGTGTTCGAATGAACGCTTTAACTCGAGTACAAATCGTTCGAACAGCAACGGACGTGTGACGTTTGGCTCGTAGATATCGCGTAAAGTGAGGGATGTTCTTTCAGAATGTCTGGTCGCGACGGTGGCAAGAAAAAGCCTCTGAAGGCGCCGAAAAAGGAACCAAAGCATTTGGACGACGACGACTTAGCGTTCAAGCAAAAGCAAAAGGAACAGCAGAAAGCTCTCCAGGAGGCCGCGAAAAAGGCGAGCCAAAGAGGGCCCCTGGTCACGGGCGGCATAAAGAAATCAGGCAAAAAATGATGTACTTAAGACTGACAACAACCGCACGCCCCGTGCGCAATGTGTTTTTTATCGAGACCATGATTTTTGATATAACTAACTAACGTGTCGACCAAAGAACGCCCGAACGGTGTTCTCGTCATCGAGATATGGTAAACCACTTGTAAATAAAATGATCATGTATCAAATCACAGTAGTACACGCATTTAATAGGCATCTACGTCTCTCCGTTCGACGCGGCGATCGAAGAGGGACCCCCGGACGCTCGGGGTTCGTCTGTTTGTACCGTGATCGTTGAAGCGGCGGATGTGATAGCAATAAAAGAGTGTTAAAAAATCAGACGAAACCAACGTGTTCTTTCAAGACTCGCAACGCGGCGTCACCCAACACGACCAACCGGATCGCGGCCCCTAAATCATTACAAGATTCGAGTTTTCCGATTGCTTAAGACTTGTTCTCATTTAACCGTTGAATAACGAAACCGTTACATCAATTAACCTTGACGCGAAAATACTCCGACGATTTCGAGTGTCGCGACGATTCAGTCTGCCGCGAATCCGATCGGTGCGTGTTGCGCAAAGTTTACTGAAAAAATCATGCGGTCCGATAAACCCGACAAATACGTCGCGAACGTCGCACGCTGCCCGATCCTCCCGTGCACGGATTTCTGAATTCAGCCGCAAAACACGCGTCCATTGACGAAACGTGAATTACAGCTGATTGCCATATGATCGCCAGTGCCGACAACCTTCCAACGAAAAATCCCTTCGCCCCGTGCCGTTTTCGTTCCTTCCATTTCGCGTACCCTCGACTCTCCGTGCTCGCATTATCCTCGTACACAACGAATACACTGAAATCATCAAATTCTCCAATTCCCTAAATCTTTAATTACATTATCCACCGTTTACAAAGCGTCGAGGAAGCTTGACAATTCGTTTCCTTCGTTCATTGTCGCCCGTTCTTTTATTCCCTCTACTGCGAACCACATCATTTTCTTATCGCTAAATCCTCGATTCTGTTCCTTGACAATCGGCAAGCTGTGGTCAGCAATGGCAAGGGCAAGGGAGTCGGCGATACTCGTGATCACGACGTAAAATCGCGTCGGATTCGATGTCGAGGGGCATAAGTCGATCCAGAGTAGACCTTTGTGCAACATTGTAAGAGGGAGCCACGCAGTGTCTTTCTCGGGCGAGCATTGGCAGCCGTGCTGTCCCGCAGAGAGCTGTCACTGGCTGGGTCAGTTGGCAACAGACCTTCGAGGTGGTCGTGAGTGCTTGTGCTGTCGCAGCTCGTGCCCGTCAAACTTCTCTTGTCGGGGTTTCGACGCGGAAAGGACGACCAGCGGAAGGGTTTCGAAGCGGATCGTGACAGAGCAGGGACGAGTCCAGGAGCGCGTCGATAGTTCGGGGAAAAGTATGGGGTCAGTCAGGATCATTTGACCCACGGGAACGACTCCAGGCTCGGTGGATCGTGCTACCTCGTTTGATACTACAAATCGGTGAGACATTCAAATTATTCTCGAATTCTATTTCATCTCGTTGACAACTCGTCCCTCCGCTCCGCTGACAAGAGAGGGGCGAGAGGAAAGTTCGGCTGCTTTTGTCTTTTTCTTCTCCTCTCCCCTCTCTCTCGTCCCTTCTCTCTCTCACTCTCCCTTTTCTCTGTTCCTCTTTCTATCCAGCGTCCATGGCTTTTATACCATGGACGTGTGCACCATCGGCGAACGTACACCACGACTGTTTAAAGTCAGTGTGCCAAACGTATGTGGGCATCGAAGGGTCAACTCTCAGAAGCGTAACTACGTATACTCGCTCCGTATATTAGCCCTTAAGCCAGGGACCTCAGGTAGGCGAGTGGGACAGGTAGAAAGTCGAGTCGAGGGTACGGATAATAAGATACAGAGCTGCTAGTTACGGCCCTGCGAACGGTTTTCCATACCGAAAACTTTCGACAGGTTTTTACTTAGATGTTAGTTATGATTACGATCGTTCGAAGAGAGTTTGAGGAAGCTTCTGTCTTTACCCGAAGGATAACCCGTTTCCCGTGCGGTGGCCACAAAGGGACACCATGTTATTCACCTGCATCACGGTACCATATTGCGTACCTTGTGCTTTTCCCTACGCTTCCACCACCCTCGAAGGGTAGCGCCGTAACCGCTGCGGAGATGATAGAGCGCGATTTCCTGGCCCGACGTCTGTGTGGGTTAACGCGGTCCCCGTACGAACCTATATGCCTATCTCCACGTAGGTGTACTCTGTCGCGAGAGAAGGATCGGCCGAGAGAGACGGCACGCTCGGTTTAATGCGTATATCTTGTCCCCCGCCACGCGTATATGCCTCGTCCGGAGCTTCTCGTTCCGATCTCGTTGTCCCCGCGAGAAGAGAACCCTTTAAGGCCACTCGGCTCTTTAACGGGTCGCGTTATTCCGAACAACGCACCGTTTCCAATTTAAATGTCGCGCTACCGATCGGGTTTCCTCGGGATCAGTATCGGTTCCGCGCGTTCACGCGTACCGGCTGATTTTCGGGAAACCGAACTGCGGATGGAAATTTTCACCGAGGTCAACTTATGTCACTGTGTATACAGAAACTCGGATGTATTGTTATGTAATGTGTTTTAACCCTTTGCACTTGACAGTATCTTTCATTAAGAATATTCGTTACTCTCTGACTGAATGTTAACGATATTTCTCGCGATACAATTGATTGTCTTCTGTAAATTAGAAGACAGCTGTTTTACTTCGATGTTTTATCTGTTGATACAGTACACGAGGTTTAATATTGAATTGAACATTTTAGAAGTTTGCTTTAAATAGATAATGAATTCGAATTGAATTTTATATTTTTCCAATGCTGTGGTGATTTGCGAAGTTTGTAGCTGTGTCTTTATATAAACGAGATTTCTCTACCGGTACGCAACGTGTTGACACTGGAACTACCAGATGGGTCGAAATCACCCGAAATTCTTCGAAAATTATTATAATTGTTGGAAACAATAGATCCTTCGAAGGGAATTGTTTCAGTAATATGGAAATTAAGTTTCGAGCGATGGGAGTCTTGGTAGATGCACTTTTGGGGTTTTTACAAATTTTTGAAAGTCAACTTGACTGCTTGGTGATTCTATTGTTAAGCGTGACGAAGATCTTGACTATTTTTCTGTACAATTATCCTTTTCAGCAGAAGAAATAGCAACAATTATTCACTATTTGCGACTATTACCAACTTAGTTATTAAACATTTCGATTCGACATCGATTATCTTGTATGATTGTTTTCAAGTGATTCAGAAGCGTCAGTCATCGGTGACTAACATGGCATTTAACATGGTAACCACTTCCGCTGGAAATTCGGAGATTTGGCAGTCTGGCACAATAAATTTTTTTATCTATTTTACATTGATACAGAATGCAACAAGATTGTTAATCTATAAAGATATAATTGAGAATTTTCGAACAGAAACGTTTCGACACGCGTGACACGTCTTTCCAGCGCAAGTGGTTAAATGGTTTTATCGGTTAGCCCTTCGCACTCGGAAGTTTTCCACTGGAAATATTCAACATTTCCTAACAAGATACAGACGATATCGTTTGAAAGGATTTTAACGACAATTCACAGATAAGTTAACCCTTTGCGGACGAAGGTTCTTAGAAACATACGAAACCTTCACCAGATGAAGTTCAATTATACATCAGTTACTTAAACAATAGAAACTAGGGAAAGTATGTGCTGATCTCTCGCTGTTCAAACAATTAAATACGAAAGCTTCACCAGATGAAGTTCAATTATACATCAATTGCTTAAACAATAGAAACTAGAGAAAGTATGTGCTGTTCAAACAATTAAATCGGCTGTTTGACACTCAGTTTTCGAAATATGAAAATTTCATCCCCAAATGTCGACATTCGTCAAAGGGTTAAACGAAGCTATCTCGTTTAAACATTTCGCATAGCAATGCAAAGTTTAATTAGAAACACTATCGCAATTTTTCTACATAAAATCAAGTGCTAACCGAGAGTCGCCTCTCGAGTGCAAAGGGTTAACACGTGTAGAACTTACACGGAACTTTTACTTTCCGTTGATTACTTTGTGCGGCTTTAATGCACTTTCTAGAGCGCCGCTGATATAATAGGGTATCACAAATAATTATGGCCACGTGTAATTTCTTCTACGCCGCTGGAAGGGAGGAGATTACAAGGAGGCATTTATTCCAGAGTCCAAACACGTAACGCCAGTGTTTAGAGGTCCGTTTCGAAAAGATCGGACTTCGATACCATCCGCGATACCGTCTGGCATGTCTGCCATTATAGCGTCCAAACATATAATGATTACTTTGCACCGTTAAATCATTTCGCACACCTTGAAGCATCGGTCGTTGCGGACAACGCTATTCCCGTCTCCTCTTTTTGCGGTTGATTCTCGTGTCCCGTGATATTCGTACGAACGATCAGCCTTCGCCGCTATAGAATCGATTCTAGGCTCGTTTTGTCGCGACGGGTTGAGAGAAACAATCGCCGGGACAAGCCTATGACGCATTCGAGTGCACGCGAACGGTTTATATATTACGTATGCACTCTTCTTTTTTAGTTAATACCTTTTCATTCTCCAGCGGAATTAATTCGACTTGTCACTCCAGCATAATTGATCTCATTCCGAGGAACTTCTCCTACACTAGGCATTAACCATTCGCCAGAGGCGACAATTATAATTTCCTTTGATACGGGCAAAACATGAAATTCAATGTTCAGTCTCGTGTATTACAAACCGTAATTAGACGCGAAACATTGGAATAAAATAGTTCCGATTGATTCGTCTATTTCTATTTAACCCCTTGCACTCGAAAATTTTCCACTGGAAATATTCAACGTTTCCCGATAAGATAGTCAACGTTCGTTGAAAGCAATAAGGAAACTTACAGGAATCAAGGAACGGAGCTATTTTATTCGAATATTTCATATATCCATTTTATACAAAGCTCAATATATTTAATATAATATAACTTATAATTTGAGTATATCGAATCAAAGTGATCATCGAGTCACCACTTGCTTTCCTACAGTGAAGCTATAAAGTTTGATATTTAACATTATATTTCATGTAATGCATCGATCTGAGAAATATTGACGTAAAGTAGCTTCGTCCATTAATTCACGTGAATTTCTCGTCGAGTTAGTTTCACAAAATATCGTCTTCGTCTCATCAGAAAATGTTGAGCTATTTCTAGCGAAAAACTTCGGAGTGCAAAGGGTTAATATTATATACGAGCGATTTGATATTTAACATTATACTTCATATAATTCATCGATCTGAGAAATATTGACGTAAAATAGCTTCGTCCGTCAATTCACGTGAATTTCTCGTCGAGTTAGTTTCACAAAATATCGTCTTCGTCTCATCAGAAAATGTTGAGCTATTTCTAGCGAAAAACTTCGGAGTGCAAAGGGTTAACATGATCAAAGTTTCACACATTTGTCAACGATCCGTATAAATCGCGGTCACGTTCGCATCGTCGACTCTTCGGCGTTCGTCGCCGTGGCGCGATCGTGCCTCCGTTTTCTTACCAATCCACGCGGCGAAATTGCGTCAAGCTCCGTGACGCATCCGCGCCGCACGTGAAACGTCCAGCGGCGATTTAATAACCGCGTCCCAGACGAGGGACTCGGTGTATATGCGCGGAACACTCTCGCCAGGGTTATCTTTCCGTCGCGGACGGGTTAGTTTTTTTACGAATCGATAGACACGCTCCCGTCTTCGTCGGGTTTTGGTGGTTTCCAGCGGCCGCGCGCCGCGCCGCGCTCGCTCGCTCGCGCTCGTTGCGTCAGACTTTGAACACGATCAAAGACACGTGCTGACACACGCAACGCGCGGCCCAACACTTCTGCGTCGAGAGCACCGTGGCAATTACGAAAGAAAATATCGCGAGTGTGGAGCACTCGTTCGCAACTCGACCAATCGATCAATTCTGCTCGCTCGCGAACACGGAGCTACCGGCCAACCCAACGGACCGTCAAGTACGATTCAAATTCAACTGGATTCGTTGAAGATCGAAGGCGGTGCGAAGCGCACGTAATTGACAGGGTTCGTCGCGGAAAGAACGAGCGTGTCGTTAATATTGGAATACGAACCTTCGATGAATCGTACTTCCTCGGAAATCCACTTTACGATGAAACAATCGATTATTGTTCCGAGGGAATTTATTCCAAGCTTCTAAATCCTTCGGTCTCATTGCGCGATTCAATTCCTCGTCATCGTTTTCGGCCTCGTCATCGCGCGCGTACGCACGCTACGGTTAACCTTGTGCAACACTCGAGCGATTTGCATTTACGCGAAACTGATCCGCTCGCGATTCTCCGTTCCGGGAGCGTTCGCGAGGCTCCGCCATGAGAAGAGAATTTTTCGTCATAGAGCGACCGATCTTCCACTGTAATTAACGGCAATCAGCTGCATCGCTTTCGCGATTGCACCAGGCCGCCGCTTGCGTCACTGCTTCTAGATAAAAACGA